TTTTAATTGTTGGTTTTGACTAGACGTTGTATTATTAGACACTTTTCCGTTTTCTTGTTGAGAGAAAGACTCTAAAGTCTTAGATTTAATTGTTGGCGATTCGTCTTTTACGTTAACCTGCTTTCCTTTGGAAAAAGCATCACCTTCCTGAGCTGAAGAAAATATTGGTTGAGTTCCCAAAGCATTTAGAGTGCCGTCTAGCGAGGACATTATTGCTTGTGAGACTCCGTTAATAATGAGTAATAAAATACAAAAAAAAAAGTAATTCCTTTTTCTTGGGTCAGAACAAGTTATTAAAGGATATTTTGAGGTGGCAAAATCAAGCTCTTTGCAAAAACCTGTAGTGCATTCACTTAATTCCGCCATATATCTGTATATACACGAACCATTGTACATAGGATCGTGGCGGTTACACAACTTGATACAAGCCAATCACAAGTTATAAATTATCATCCGACAAGTTAACTAGAGAAATTTATAATATATACATGAAATGACAAATAGCACAGGAATAATGGTTTTATATAAAAGTGATGTTTAAGTCGAACTATATATATTTTTTGCACATGATATATTAATCTATTATTCTAATATGAAACATTAATGAAATTAAATAATTTGAAAATATTATACTCTTACCACAGTATAACGGTAAGAGAATTTGCAAAGACATATTATTGCATTTCTCATTCAAAGGTCCAGGTAATATTATGGATATAATCATTTGGGATTTCACATTTTAATCAAATATCTACTTCCTCTTCTATTTCTTTGTCATCTCGATCTCGGAGAGGTAACCTGATTCTTCTTACCTCTCTATTGTTTGCTTCTTTAACTTCTTGAGGATATATGTAATTAGTAGGCCTTTGTTGTTTTCTTTTCTTTTTTGGGTTAGATCCTATTTGTTTATTATAGCCAGACTTAAGATCATCCGAACTTGATGATGAATCATCAACCAACCCAACGGCCTGATCCAAAATCAAATATAAATTTTAATAAATCTAAAATAATTTCTACTGACATGATGTATTGAGTTATTTTATACCTTTTCAGAAGTCGCACTGCCAAATTGATTTGAAAAAAAAAAAAAAAAATTCTGATTATTAAATAATTCTTTCTTTTTTAATCGTCAGCGAAAGGGTCAATTAATTCAGAAACAAGCTTATTTATCAAAATTTTAGACACTAACCTTGACCGAGAAAATAACCTTTCTTCAAGCGTAATTTCCGAACGTTTTTTTTTATCGCTTGTAGCCCTTAGGTAACCATCAAACCCACGAATTAAGTTTCCTCCAGAATGAGTTTCTTCCAAGTAAGATCCTTCAAAATTCCAAATATGCTTTTCAATTGTTTTCTAGATTGTTTAATTAAATATTTGACCAGTATAGTTATATATATTAAAAAGCTTGATTCTCTACAAATTTTGAGTTTAAAACTCACTAGACTTTTATCCATGTCTTTCTTGCGCATTAATAATTTTTTAAGTTCCGCTTCTGCTTCCGCAAGTTTATCTCTAGTGACATCTGACTATAAACATAAAATATATTTTATCAGTAAAAATAGAATGGAGGAGCTGAGTGATCAATTTTTAACAATATTTACTACAGGGGGATCCTCTTTTTTGATGTTCGACATAGAAGCTTATGAGTAAACCTTTTGATATGATATCCTCGCTTTTAAATGTAGTATAACCCGTGATTGATTCTGATTGGTGAGCATATGAATAATGCACACTGTAATAGGTCGATCAGTTAACATTAACGTTAACGTTAATCAAGTCACTCATACCGATACAACCATAGAATTTAATTTTCACAATGTCACTTCAAATGTTACGATATCGACCTCGACGTCCTTTTTGGCAACTTCCTCAACATCGTTTACCAGTTTTATCCCTTTATAAAACTTTACTAAAATTATCCAAAACATTTTCCAATGATATTCACAGGAAGTATTTATATTTTGCTATTCGAGAAAATTTTAGATTTAAGCGTTACGAAACTTCGGTGGCGTCAACTATCAAGCATTTAAAAGAAGCAAAAGAAGTATGCTCGTGATCTTGTACAACTTCGATGATAAAATAAATTAAACAATTTCTTTGTAATTTTGTAATTTGTAATTCTAGTGTCGGATTACTTTACAAAAAGCATTGCAAGGTGATAAAGAATCCTTTCAACATATTGATGACTTGGCATGGGGTAGGAAAGGTAGGCTCAAAGAAGTACTGGAAGTAGTAAGTTTTGCTATTACACAATGCTATATAATTCGTCCATATACCTGTTTAGTGCTTATATTCAACTTTATTCAAATATTTCAAGAAAGATCAGCTGTAAAAAAAAAACCTAAATGAACGTTACACCTGATCTTGTGATCCTAATGTAAATGTAAAATATGCAGCCAAGGGAAAACCTGTCATCATTCATATGATTGATGACAGGTTTTCCCTCCTAAACTCCTAGTATAAATTTATCCGTAGAGATGTTAATCGGTCTTTTAGATCGAGCCTTGAAGGACTCGGTCCTATAAATCACATGATTGTCGATTATGTACATCACCAATTTTTAAAGCGAAGAACCTGGACAATATTAATGTTTAAAGACATTTTCGAATTCCACAGGTTTGCAGGGTCCGAGAATGTCCCTCGAACATCAAAATTGGTTAGGTATTTACTGACATTATTTCATTCAAATGTTTGGAATAAAAACTTTAATGATAACCGTAATTTGAGTTATCTTGTCAGAGCCTAGAAAATGTTTGATAAAATTTTCAAATTCTACAGATTTGTAGGATTCGAAAAATGTCCCAAACCCGCTAAGTCTTTACTGAGATATTTTTTCACTCTAGGTCTAGAAGAAAAAAACAGTAATTAAACATCGCCTTATTTGTTTGAAATTTTGAACGAAGATGGCAATCTCGATATTTGAGAGTATTTTCGAATTCTATTAGTTTGTAGGATTCTAAAATGTCCTCAAACATCAAAATTTATTAGGTCTTTATCAAGATATCTTTGTTCAAAGTTTTAAAAAAAGTTTACGTAACCTAACAATCGCTTGAGAAAATATCTCATTAAAGACCTCGATGTTAAGAACATTTCTAATCCTACAGACCCGTATAATTCGAAAATATCCTTAAACATTGGGATATATCAGATCTTTATCGAGATATCTTTACTCAAAATTTGTAGTATGTATAATTGATAAATGCGTTATCACGTGACTCAACACTTCCAGGACTATTTTTAATTTAACATATCCTAATTATCTGTGCTATGAATAGTTTATTAATTAATAATCAAGTTATATATATTTATGAATATGAATATAAAGCACTAATCAGTTAAATACACGTATTGATATTTTTAAATCAAT